TGCGGGTGGGGGGGTGAGTCGGTGCGCGCGCACAACTCCAGCGGGGTGTGTGTGTGTGTGTGAGTGTGTGTGTGCTCTTCGCCTGCACAACCCCAGCGGAGTGTGGGTGTGTGCTGCGCGCGCACAACTCTAGCGGGGTGTGTGTGTGTGAGTGAGTGTGTGTGTGCTCTTCGCCTGCACAACTCCAGCGGGGTGTGTGTGTGTGCTGCGCACGCACAACCCCAGCGGAGTGTGTGTGTGTGAGTGTGTGTGTGCTGCGCGCGCACAACTCCAGCGGAGTGTGTGTGTGTGAGTGTGTGTGTGCTGCGCCTGCACAACTCCAGCGGGGTGTGGGTGTGTGTTGCGCGCGCACAACTACAGAGGGGGTGTGTGCGTGCAGCTAACAAATCTGTGTGTGTGTGTGTGTTGCATGCGCACAACTCCAGATGGGTGTGTGTGCGTGCAGCTAACAAATCTGTGTGTGCGTGCGTGTGCTGCGCCTGCACAACTCCAGCGGGGTGTGTGTGTGCATGTGCTGCGCGCGCACAACTACAGTGGGGTGGGGGGGGGTGCAGCTAACATATCTGTGTGTGTAGTTTGCGTGTGCTGCGCCTGCACAACTCCAGTGGGGTGTGCGTGTGGTGCGTGCACACAACTCCAGATGGGTGTGTGTGTAGCTAACAAAGCTGTGTGTGTAGTGTGCGTGTGCTGCGTCTGCAAAACTACAAATCTGTGCATGTGTGTGAGCTGCACACGCACAACTACAGATCTGTGTGTGTGCAATGAACAAATCTCTGTGTGTGTGTGTAACCACAGCTCTGTGCTGTGCGTGGCTACAGACTTCTGTGTGTGGGTGTGTAACTACAGATCTCTGTGTGTGTGTGTGTGTGTGTGTGTGTGTGTTCAGGGTGTAATAACTTCCCCCTCCAACACACACCGCCTGGGTCACTTTCCCTTCTTCCCAAGCCAATGCAAGTCCCCCAGGTCGTCTTTGGATCCAGTTGGTAAAGAAAAGTGGGGGTGGGGGGGAAGTGGGGGACACCAGATCCCAGCTGGGAGGAATGTGCGGGGTGCTGATGGATGCCCAGTTGAAATGTTGAAGGCTGGGCTGGAGGGGGAACGGACAAGCAAAAATTCTCTCACACTCACTTCTGTTGGACAATTTCCTGTTCACAGGCAGATGCACTGCTGGGTTTTTAACCCGTTTCTTACGGGATTCTAACTACACATGCACACACAGTCCATGCAACCGCCGCAGTGGGATCACACACACACACACACACACACACACACACAGAATGGGTACAGCCAGGCCAGGCAGCGGGATCTCACTCACACACACACACACATACACAGTGGGTATAGGCCAGGCAGTGGGATCTCTCTCTCTCTCTCACACACACACACATACACACACACAGTGGTTGGGTACAGGTCAGGCAGAGGGATCTCTCTCTTTCTCACACACACACACAGAGTGGATATAGGCCAGGTAGCGGGATATATCTCTCTCACACACATACACACACACACACACAGTGGGTTGGGTACAGGCCAGGCAGCAGGACCACACACACACACACAGAATGAGTACAGGCCTGGCAGTAGGAACAAACACACAAAGAGAATAGGTACAATGAGGCAGCAGGATCACACACACACACACACACACACACACACCGAGATACAGCAGGAGCAGTTCACATCCACACAGCGTTTGTTGGTAGGCTTGGAAGGGATAGAGTTTGATCAGTCAGTGTCAGTAACCATTAATTTCACCTTGCACACTCAAAGGGAGGAAAAAATATTTCCATGGGATGATCACTGAAATTTACGCACAGGCAAAGTGAGAAAAAACGCTGATGAGAAGTAATGAGGGTTGGATGTAAGGATGGTGTACTTTGATGTCGACAATTTGTGTTTTAGCGGCAATAAAGCTTTCGCTGTTGGAATATCAGTGTCTAATTAAATAATTGTCTGATCCCCCCCATGGGTTCCCACAACGGTGATAGTTTAAATCGATACAAATTGAAAAAAGGCTTAAAAATAAGCATCCATATTATCCACTGAAATTATTAAAACAATCAAATTTTTGCCCAGCATAGTTGTTAGACAGGAGGCATCATTCTCTCCCGGGAGACTTGGGTTAATTGCCACTAGAAGCAAAACATTTGCATTGACTCTGCAGTAGCGTCTACAACACTTTATTTCACACTGGTTCAAACACAACTAAAGAGACAACCTCACCCGCTTATTATTGTCCCTGGAGTGGGTTGAAAAATCCAATTTTATTTCAGCCCCCCCCAAAAAATCGAACAATTTTGGTTGAATTTTTTGGCCAAAAAATTTCAATTTTTGTTGACGACAAAATCCCAGATGAGGGTTTTGGGGTCATTCCGAATCAACATTTTCATTGGCCATCCGAGTGAAATGTTCGTTCCTTTCCAGCGTTCAAAACATAAAGTGAAATGAAAATATTGATCTGAAATGAAAAAGTTTGGGGGGGTTTTTTGTGTGTGTGCGATGAAAATTCAAAAATTTTGTCTCAAAGAGTTTTCACAAAACACGTTGGAGCTGGCCTGTGCTGCATTATTTCTTGAAATAAATAAATTCAGTCAATACATTTCAGCTAGCTCTAAATATCTGGATAACATCAAGAGGCGCTAACTGAAATCAGGGCCCCCATTGTGTCAGGCGCTGCACAGACCCAAAGTGACAGTCCCCACCCACCATGCAGGGTTTACAAATATGCAGAGCACAGAAAGGGAAACTGAGGCACGGAGCAGGGATGTGACTGACCCAATGTCACTCAGCAGGCCAGGGACAGAGCTGAGCATAGACCCCAAGACGCCCGAGTCCTGCTCCAGTACTCTATCCGGGAGGCCACACTGCCTCCGCTGGAATTTACAATCGTGCTACTAAAATTGAAATGCTCCAATACATCTGTTAGTCTTAAAGGTGCCCCAGGACTCTCTGTTGCTTTTTACAGATCCAGACTAACACGGATACTTGACAAAATTGAAATGTTAGCAAAGCCTCACGTGGCGCTGAACGGTGGCGGCTAAGGACCTCGACCCAAATCGGACACAAGGCAGGCGAAAGGGAGAATTGCTCTGCCTGTTTTCCAGCTGGGGAAACAGAGGCAGGGAAGAGCCAGATTTCCTAGGGCTTGACCCCTACAACAAAAGTGCCAAGCATCTGACACACTGAGCGCTATTGAAATATCAAACTCAAGGCCCAGGTACCATAGGGAGGCAGCATCAGAGCTGGGAATGGACCCACCCCAGCCAGCCCTTCCTACCAAGCAGAAAGCCTTTATGATTTTTTAAGGCTGACCACAGTTATGCTATGTCCCTGAGACAAAGCCCCCTGGCCCCTCCCCACCCAGCCTTCAGACATCCTAGCTGCCAAGTCAGCAATGGATGGGAGAAAGGACCTATTCAAGGCTGGTGAATCACTAAAACCACGTCAGCTTCCCAGCCTAGGCCTTCTCTTCCCCGGGGGGGTGGCGGGGGCGAATTGGCTGGCGTAGTTATAAGGGCTCTAGTTCTCCCTGGTATAACTCCCAAAGCGGAGTGATTAGTCTGGAGTAGAGCGGGCAAACAAGGGGCTCTTCCGGGCTAGCCGTAGGAGCAGGATAATTACTCCAGGGTAGCGATGCCCATCAATTTCCCCAGATAGACACGTTCTCAGTGGGGATCGCCCAGGGTGACCTGCCTCCCGCAGCTTGAGGGCGGGTGGCTTAAGACGCTTGCTCCCAGCAATTTCCGACTGATCGGCCTCCATGGAGATGGGGAAGGGGGGGCCAGGGTATGTTCCCACCCCCCCAGAGACGATGAACGAATCATGCTTTAGCTTTTTCACCCGAGGAGCTCAAAGCACTTTACAGATTATTATTATTTATTTTTATTATGGTAGCACCTAGGAACCCCAGGCATGGCCCTGAGCCCCATTGTGCCAGGCGCTGTCCATTTTTATTGCTATTAGGTGTATTACGGTAGCACTTAGGAGCCCCAGTCATGGCCCCAGGCCCTCATTGTGCCGGGCGCTGTACATTTTTATTGCTATTAGGTGTATTACGGTAGCACTTAGGAGCCCCAGTCATGGCCCCAGCCCTCATTGTGCCGGGCGCTGTACATTTTTATTGCTATTAGGTGTATTACGGTAGCACTTAGGCGCCCCAGTCGTGGCCCCGGGCCCCATTGTGCCGGGCGCTGTACATTTTTATTGCTATTAGGTGTATTACAGTAGCACTTAGGTGCCCCAGTCATGGCCCCAGGCCCCCGTTGTGTCAGGTGCTATACATTTTTATTGCTATTAGGTGTATTACGGTAGTACTTAGGAGCCCCAGTCATGGTCCCAGACCTCGTTGTGTCAGGTGCTGTACAAACATGGAGCAAACAGACAGCCCTTGTCCCAGTGATCCAAGCCTGCCCAACCGCCTGGTCCAAGCCCAGGGGATTAACTCGAGCTGCTGCCTGTGTGGCAAAGTTCACGCTGCTATTCTATGCACGCTAGCTGGAGCTGAGCTAGCCCACGTCTGTCCCTCCAGGGGGTGCGGCTGGCCCCAAGCCGTAGTGTAGATGTGCCCGGAG